TCTGTGTGGGACTCATTTCTGGGCCTGGGCCAGGGGAGGGGGCTGAGGATGGGAGGACCTCACATACAGACTTGTGGCTGGTTTCCAAATGAGGCTGCACACACAGTCCCAGACAACAGAGGACTGACAGCTGTCATTCCACTGGGGCACTTCAACTATACCAAAACTTGTACAAGTAACTCCTTTTTGACATTTTTTTTTTCATTTAAAAAATGTATTTAGGGACATGAAATAATGGAACTGACTGGGCTCCCTCAGCCTTGAGGAGCCCCATATGTGTTTATGCATGTGTGTGTGTGTGTGTGTGTGTGTGTGTGTGTGTGTGTTTTCATGTGCATTTGTCCTCCACTGCATATTTTTAAAACTGGATTGGATGTGAGATGCTGTTGGTTAGGAAATACGTTATTACCAACACCACTATGGTTATAGCTTGTTCTCCATGAGGAACTGGCCATCTGGGGAATTTAACATAAACAGGCTGCAACTAAAATTGGGAACAAAATGTCGCACAGCCAATGTGTCCTTTTTGCACGTCTGGGCTTCATCATACAACATGTGATAGGAATGTGTAAGAGGCACATCACCGGTGACGGAACTAGCAGAGTGTGAACAAACGCTGTGACTCCTGTGCAAAAGGTAAATGTCAGTCCAACCCTGGGTTTGTTCCATTTAGGTCTGCTTTCTTTTCCTTCTCCCTTCCCTTCCTTTTCTTCTTCATACTTGGGATAGAACCCAGGGCCTTATGCATGCCGGGAAAATGCTCTAACACAGAGACACATTTTCCAGCCCTTTTTGAAATTTTATTTTTAGACAGGGTCTCACTTAGCTTCCAGGCTGGCCTCAAACTTGCCATCCTTCGGCCTCAGCCTCCTGAGTAGCTATGCCCGAGTCCAGACCAGAGTCTGAATTTTAGAACTACACAATTTAGGACTTTTGGTTTTGAAATTCCTACGAGTTTTAATAATTTCATTGTTTCCAGAGTGAAGGTCCCCAGTCACTGATCCTTTATCCACTAAAACAAATGTTTTATAATATCATTTTTTGCCAATATACTATTATTACTCCACAGTGTGTATATTATATAAGAAATGCAGATTCTATACATGCAATGTTAATTGACACACAGTACATCGATCACTATGGTATAGGAGCTGTTTGCAGATGGCCTGAAGACAAACATTTAAATGTCCATAATTATATATATTAACATAGACTTTTAACATAGGGCAATTTCCCACTTGTCCATTGCTGATAATGATGTGCAGCTTCCTTTAAAGTATAAGTTAAAAAGTGAGTCAATTTATAGAAAAATATTGAATAAATAAAAATGCAGTGGTCTGCTTATGAGGTGGCAAACATCGTGGAGATGCTTTGTGAAGGACCCAAGTTTTGGAAACAATGGGCCATCTAACCATACGAAAGATGATGTCAGCCTGGGGTTGAATTTCGATAGTGACAATAGCTAAAGTGAAGTAGCCATCTTGGTGGCCAGTGCCACACATGGGTAAGGCTGCAGCCTGACACCTCAGGAGTGTGCTGCCCACATGACACTAATTGGCCCACACAGGAGTGAAAGCCTGACCCTTCCCTCATTAGCCACATGCTCAAACCAGCTGAGCTTGCTCACTCTGGGTCGCTGGGGTCCCTTGTAGGAAATTACCATTCCAGTGCCCTGTGACCCTCTTGTGACCCCAACTAATGAATGTCCCATGGAGCCTAATGTCGTTCCTGGGGGAGCACACAGCTCTCCCAGCAGCCAAGTTGATATTCTGAAGCTTTAACCCAGAACTAATTGAGGAAGCACAGAGAACTTGGGAAACCTGGGAGCCATTTTTCAAACACCTGCGTGCTGGAACAAAGGCGGAAAACACCACCTGCTCTGTCCATTTTCTTGCTGGATCTGGTCTCAGGACACAGAATAGAAGCACAGGGAAGTTAAGGAAGCAGCTAAACATCACACAGCAAGTTCATTAAACATAAATGGCATGAAGTGTTTGATGTATGGGCCCAACTCAGTATGGCAGGTGGTATTATCCCTATTGTAGAGATTAGGAAACTCAGAAGTAATTAGTGGAAGAGTCAGCGATTCTCCCAGAACTGCCAGATTCTGGAAGTAAACACATCCTCAAATTGAAGGGCAATTTTACAAGATGGACAGCTTGCCAAACCTTTCTGTTAGTGTCCCCTTTTATGTCTCAGGAGAAACACTACAGTCCTTAAAAGAATCTGATTTTTCTGTACCTTTAGGACCTCCAAAGTTAGGGCCTGAGAAGACTTTCCTTAGATAAATTTATAGTCAAGGCCAAGAGAAAGCATTCTTTCCAAGTGTTGGAAAGAAGAGGATGGTAGATTTTCTCGTTGTGAACTGAAGAGCTGGGAAAGGCCACTTACACTCTCTCTTCTTTTTAATAAGACTATTGGATAGATCCTCCTTCCAGGTTCAAACTATTGAGTAAAATACACCACCCTTGGCATTCACTTGGCAACTTCCCAAAGCTGCAGCTAGCCTGTTGCCCCCAGGAGTGCCCACCTCCCTGATCTTCTCTATAAGCCATGGATCTGCGTGTGTCCACTCCCCACTGAAGAGCAGTGTAAGTCTAAAGGGACTAGATACCTAAGGCAAACCACCAAGTCATAGTTTAATGCAGCCTTCTGATTTTTGATTTGTCTAAAGGAATGACTTGGCTTACCCTCCAAGTTTCCTGGTTAATAATGCCTGAAAACGTTACTATTTTAAAAGTGGCTAACAATAAAGAGAGAGATCTAGACAGATTTCCAAATTCGCCATTTATTAGCAGAGAGATGTTGTCAAGTTACTAAACCTTGCATAGTCTTAGTTCCTTCACACCTAATGGAGACGAGATCTTTATGACAGTTGCATGTGAACAGAGCAATGCAGGTAATGTACTCAGCATGGGGCTCACATACCCAAAGTGACAATATTTCTTAAAGCATGATCTGTCTTCTGTCCCTTCACAAAGTGTGTTTGAGTGAAAGGTGGTACAAGCTACCAAGGACCAAAAAGGCAAAGATACAGCTCGTCACTACCATAGTTTGGGTGTTGAAAGTCTCCCAAAGGCTGTATGTTAAAGGCCTGTTCCCCAGGGTGGTGCTACTGGGAGGCAGTGGAACCTAGAAGAGGTGGGGTCTAGCAGGAGGTCGTTAGGTCATTGGGGTATGCCCTCAAATAGGTCCTAGTGAAAAGCCACCCCCTTCCCCCTACTCTTTCGCTTCCCAGCCATGAGATGAGTGGTTTTGCTCTGTCATGTGCTCTTGCCATGATTTGCTGCCCTGCCACAGGCCTAAAGTACTGGAACCTCCAAAACTGTGCAACAAAGTAAACTTTTGCTGTGTTGATTGGAGTATTTTGTTAGAGTGGTGAAAATCTAACACAATTATAATCTTATTTTCAATTATTCCTTTGAAGATCATACTATATTCCTCTTCACCATAGGCTGCTGGAAAAATTATGCTTGAGGTGAGGAGGGGAAGTCTTTTGAAGGCCTTGGCATGCTTTCTTGTTTATCACAAGTTTATAATAAGAACACATCTACTTATAGCCTTGGTGTGGAGGCCCCATTCTGGTCATTGAATATAAGAGAGCTATGACCTTACTCACAAATGGGTCTTTAACCATCAATACTGGGTGGAACTGGCCTGTTTCAAAGGGATACATTTGCTGAGAAACAAGGGCTTCAAGACAGCTTTTCTGGGGGCAATCCCATGACAATAGATGGGAAGAGGACAGGTAGGGATGACAGTATTTTCAAGGAAAGGAGAAACCCTCTGATGTGAGAAGAGCGGCAGATTCCCTAAACAGGGCACTGGGACACCTTTCTTTCACCCCTGTATTTCAAGCACATTCACGACCAGAATGCCATCAGTCAGGCTTCAGAGTAGTAAATTCAACATTGGTAAGAAGCATCCACGTTGTTGCTTGGTTGAACACTACTTTGTTTTTTGACCTTGATTATTTCAATGCTTACTGATGAGCATCTAACTATAAACTGCAGTAGGAGATGCTGCTCCTTCCAGGACCTCCATTTAAGCAGTTTTCTTTAACCCACTGCCACCTAGTGGCTACTAAGCAGACTGGAAAATGCCTCATTATATCCAAGGAGAAATGATTGGCAAGAAAGTTTTTGTTTCTTGCCACTTCTATCCAGGAAGTACAGGAGAGGGAAATGTGTCTTATTCCATGGGCCTCCACTCCCTTGCCAATATTTAAGCCTCACTGAATACCTGAAACTTCAAGTCAGCTGTCTATTGTGCCTTATTTTGATCCATGAGAACATTCTCCTTTTATCAGAAGTCTTGAAGATACAAAACAAATAAGCAAGGACCAGACCTAGAACCTGTGGGTCTTGCCTCCCCCTCCTCCACTGTGGTGGTTGGAAAGGTCAGGGGATCACCTGAGCCCAAGCCTGTCCTCTCAGGTGGGTTTCTTGTCTAACAATCAATGTTGTTTTTACTTGCTCATCTTACCAGGTGATTTAGTTCTGGAAGCACACAGAAGAGATCAAGTAATCAATGTGGCAAATCTCTGGGCAGCTCAGCTTCCTGTGCACAGAGGAAAGCTGGGGCAAGTTTACATATTTCTGTAAAACAGAGGATCTGTTAGGCAAATGTGCTAAAATACTCCAGAGCAAAATTGATGGTAGTCTCAGCAGATCATGAAAAGAATAGATTAATGCCAATGAGCACAATATATTCTAAGGGAAGTTACCCTTGCATGGGGCTTGGAAGAGAAATTTCATAACATGGGCCAAGTTTCTTTTCTAAGCATGAACTTCAAATAAACTTGGAGGGAGGAAAAAAACTACCTTGAAAGTGGTGATCTAGATGTGTGTGCTATAGTACAGGAAAGGCACAAAGTCACAATAATGAGACCGCAGAAGGCTCCAGATGCTTTACTCTTCCAGATAGGCATCTGTTCTTGGGAATGGACTTCCATGACTCCTCCCACTGCCCCTCAAAATCAGCAGAGACAAAGCAGCCAGTACATTAAATCAATCATATTTATTACAGTTTCCAGACTCCCATATGACACATACCTAAAGCTTAACATTGCAAACTGATGTTATTAGCAGCAATCCTTCCCAAACAGGAAGGGTTTCAATTAACAATTAGGAGCAATATAAAGATGAGACTACACTTATGGTTTTTCATTTAGCAGCTGGTATATGAATACTGAAACTACAAACACATAGAGTCATCCTGCTTCAGCCTTGTCTAAAAAGCATTAATAAGTTATGGTGTACAGGGGAATCCCCAGGGTTGCCCAATAGAAGGCTGATGTCTTCAGATGTCAGATGAAATAAGAAAATCACTTTTAAAGACATGGTTTACTATCTGCTTTACTGTCAGGACAACAGGAAAAGAAGTGAGTAGCTGCCCCAAAACCTAACTCCACCTAATACAGCCAGATAATCAGAGTTTAAATAATACTCCTAAATTTTTTCAGACATTTTCTTCACAGCTCTAAAAACATAACATCAGACATAACATCAGATATTTGCTCCAAAGGACTAAAAATCAAAAGCAATTGCAATGTATTGGGAATAGCTTTTATAGCTTTCCTAAGGGACAGTTCCTATCTTTTCAGAGAGTGTTTTTAAAGAAGCAGTAACTCTGGTAGCTTATCAAACTACTTTTTATTCTAAATAAATAAAAAACCAACTGAAAGTCTCAGGTGTACTTATGTTTCTTTTCCTAGATCTCTGAGCCATCCACAGCCATTTCTTGACAGAGAGCTTTCATTTTTATTAGAAGAGTGCAAGAGAACTTATAAACATTTGAAAAATACTCAAAACACTAAGAGTAAAGGAGGCCCAACCCTTCTTCAGAAGCCAGAAAATGGTGACAGGAACCCCAAAGGCTTATCTTAAATCCATCAGCTCAACTTGCCAGAAAGTAATGACAGACTGCCCACCTTTGCAACATGGGCTCAGATAAGATGCTTCTGCTTTACAACCATTAAGAAAGGCCTTCTGGGAGAAGAGAAACACAGATTGGTGAACATAAGTTACTGAAATGAGGCTGGCTGCACTATGTATCTGGTACAGGAAAAGAAAAATTGAAACAGCTGCAAAACTATTATATTTGTACCATGATACTCTTCTTTTATATGAACCCTGACCTTCCCACAGCAATCATTTCATTCAGAAAAAAACACATAAAAGAAAGTTCTAGGGCAGCACCAATGACAGCTAGCTGTCTTAAAGGAATTTTAATTTTTTTCCAAAAGGCAAAATTTAGAGGAAATTTAAACAATTTATAGAATCAATTCTATTTCATGACTTCGCCCATGTGAGCTGCTAAAGTAGTAGTGCAAATAGAAATACAAATGTCCATTCTGTATCAAGTTAGGTTTCTAGTTCTTTTTTCCCCTCAAGGGATAGAAAGGTACACAGAGGTGAGGCTTATAGGGACTGAGGGCAGGTCATACATGACCTGACATCTCTGCAGGTACTGCTTCACCTTTACACCCTAGGACAGAAGCTGCTCCTGATCCACCAATAAAACTGGTAGCACAGGTTTGTTTCTATGCGCCTAGACCTTAATGTCAATATCCCCCAGGCTTTCTGACTTGACCTGTGCCATGCACATAGAGTAAGATGTCAACTGATCCAAAGCTGTCTGCCTCTGCACAAGATGGTCCCTGGAAGACACAGAAATGTTCCCCAAAATGAAAAAAAAAAAAAAAGCAACCAAGTGCAAGTTTTACTAAGGGTGAAGCAACAGAGTCACTTATGTATACAAAGAACGGCACCTAAAATTGTTCTAAGTGTGAAACCATATCTTGAGTTTCTTAATCACTCATTAATACTACCTAATAAAGCTGAATAATTCTAAGAAGCCTTTCCCATTGCACAGGTATGTCCTGTGAATTGTCTTGGAAACATATTTCTGTGCCTAGAGATTACCGTGAAGAACCAAAGTTGGATATTCAAAAATATGTACTGTTCTTAATGACATTGCTTCCCAAGCCAGAATCCCTGGAGAATACCAGGGACCAGTTCTGTATTTCAGCTATGTAGGGCCTATCCCAGGTGAGTTGGGGGAGGAGGGTGCCTGTACCCTACCATTACTTTGCCCTTTCCTTCTCCTGAGGAAGACTTCAGTTATTTCCATAGCAACTTTTTAAAAAACATATTTATTTATTTATTTATGGTGCTGTGGATAGAACCCAGGGCCTTACACATGCTAAGCTCATATACTATCACTGAGCTACTCCCCATACTCCAGAGCAACTTATTATACTGGCCTTAGATGATAACATCATTTGAGCAGCAATATATTGTTAGGACCTATTTTTTCTTTACTTTTGAAAAATTTCTCCAATGATAAAGAGAAAGCAATAATTAAAAAAAAACTGACTTCTCTAAAAATAATTATCATTCTTTGTATGAAACACCAGAATCACTGTCTAAACAAATAAATGGGCTCATATGGCATATCTGGTTATATCTTACAGTTTAAAACTAATCTTCTTAGAACTGTTATGTGGGAGAAAATAGTAAATCAATCCTTATGTGGCTATATAAAAGTTATACATAAACATGAAAATTGGCACGTTTAAACAAATCCAATTAGATTTAACTAGGCACTAGAATGAATGGGAACTGATTATATTACCTTTGATTCCAAATATATACATTATGGGGAAAATAGTACTATGGTTTCTAGATGAGGGACAAGCAGGCAGGCATCTCCTAATACAGCCACATAGGAGATGCAGGCCTGATGATAAATAGCACAACCATTAATTTGGAGAATAAGAGTTTTGGACACATTATTTAGAAGAGAATTTAAACTGGCTGATTCCTAAGATAATTATTGACTTGAGTTCGTGACTTGGAATCTCTTTAAACTTTAGTGCATCTGATCTGGCTCTAGAGTATACTTTAATATGCACTGAAAAAAACAAGTAAACATAAAACAAAAAAACTTCCACAAATTCCCCTTTGGGGATGTGTCATCTTTAGATGCTCATTTTCCCTTTGGTTTTATCATATAAACACCTTGCAAAGTTCAAGGGAATATTTTTTGATAATTATCAGAAAAAGGTGGGGGCTGGGATGTGGGGGGGAGCAGCAAAAAGGGTCACTTTTCTCTTACTGATATTCTTCTGAGAACTTTCATTGTCCTTCCAGAGGAAGGAAGGGAATATGGAAAACAGTTCCTGAAGTTTCTCTGCCTTCCAAAGATAATTACAAGACCATAATATGTCACTTAGGAAGATTCCTTGTTCATGTAGCACCTGCCTTGCTCATAAGACATATAGAGTTCTACAGAGCTATGAAATAGAGATCGTAAAAGTTATTCATGGCACTTAAACGTGTTTAGAGGCTGTAAAAGGCCTTCCTAAAATTCTTTGTCATGATGCCCCTGTGAGGTAGGTGTCTGATGGGAGAAACTGAGGCACAGAGGGGTTAAATCTGCTCACCTTTCATCGTGTGGTAAGCCAGTGGTCCAGCTCGCAGAAGAACCAGGTGTTCTAGTTCCCTAAACTTCATTCACCCTGCTTCTCAGAAGGCTATCCAAGTGACATGACAAACACAGCAGGGAAAATTCTCCTTTTCATACATTTTAATTGGTTGGTTATTTCTTATTCTCACTTTGAACATAATTTATCTAAAACAAATATAAACTAACAAAAAGTCAATATTGCCTAACAGTCTGTGTCAAGATGCAGCCTATTCTGCACTGTTGATTGAAAAAGCATGTAATGATTCAAGTAGGAATGTCCACAGGTCTTGTGGCTTCCTGTTACCCAAGCCAAGTTGTGAGTAAGGTGTCTCTTTAGACACTACCCACTGTACTTTATAAGACCCTCTTTGGCCTGACATGTGGGAATAAAACTACCACCCTTAATTCATGGTAACATCATTCTGAAAGATTTTCTATACAAGGCCAGTCCGGCCTGGAAAGGGGACTCTCAGCCCCTTTGATGTGTGTGTGTGTGTGTGTGTGTGTGTGTGTGTTACTGAGTTCATGTAGAACTCTTTGAAGTCAGATATGAAGGTCACAGTCTCCTGCCACAAAGCTCACAGGACAGTTCACTCTATGTACAGCGGGGTAATACCACAGGGTACATGCACTAGCACCATGCCACAGAAGTCAGAAGAACAAGAAGCCACCACACAAGCATGTGACAGTCCCATCTGGTATGCTGTTTGCAGAGGCTACCTCTGGGTTAGGGGAAGACTGATGAGGTTCTGCATTCTTTGTGTAACAAGAAAGAGGGACCAAAACAGCATTTACTGCTGCCTGCTTTGAGCATAGTAACCTAACCTATCTAAATTTCACCTCTATGTTAGTTGGCAACTTTTCTAGCCTTATAGATAGTCAAAGATAATAAATTTCACTTCTTGATCAAGAGAAAATTGTGTAGAGCAAAATTCATAGGTCAGTTACAAAATGTGGGTGCAGGCCTCTGGGGCAATTACATTGCTACTCTTAGATTCAAATTCATGACTTGTCAGGATACAAGCTTTTAAAAATGAGAATTTTTGAGACATTTTTTTCTATAATCTCTGAAGAGTGAATTCTGCTTATATTGTGATGCTGAGTCAAATGGAAGATCTTATATTTGGTTTGAGAGTATGAAGTAGACCATGACACCCATCAGAAGCCTTGTACCTAAGCATAGCTTCTATCTTGACAGTAACTCAAGTGCCCACTCTCCTAAAGGCCTATCTTCCCCTTGAGCTCCTCTTCCAGAGGGTCGAGCCTGCTCTATCCTCTGCAGGTGCAGGACCAGAGGGAAGCATTCCAATTCAGGGTTTCCTTGGGATACTAGGATACAGCAGAGTAGCAATTCATGCACTTTATTTCTAAAAACCAAAGCTCAAGTCGGGCTGAGCTGGTTACTGTGCAAGATGAACCAGCAGGACATTCTCACCTCGAATGAAAATCTGATTTATGTGTCGGGTGAATACCTGCTGATAATCCACCTTGGGCTTTCGTTTTTTTTTACGGGATTGGCCCCTGGAAAGGGTGGTAGCCCTGGAGAAGGTACCTCCCGTACTAGACCCTTCTGTCCGTGTAGTCCTCCCTGACAGCTCTGATCTGGACTCCTCCCTTGCAGATGCCTGCAGGGAAGAAGGAACAGATCGGGAACGCTTGCGTGAGCCCCGGTCAGTGTCTTCTCTTCCCCACACTGAAGCCACCTTCCAAGTGGATGTCTGGGAGTATCTGGACAGAGTGGAGTCTTCAACTGCAGACTTAGAATCTGCTTCCTTCTTGGAGGAATCTTGAAGTTTCAGCCGATCGAATAGCTATAAGGAATGCAATGACAAACATTAGCCTTCTCTTTAGCCTTCACTATCCCTCTTTTAACACACAGAAAAAGGCCAGGTTCTTTAATTATGCTCTGTAGACTCCATGCATTGCAATTTTTTAAAAGTTAGTAAGGACTTTTCTGTTTTCAGCCATAATTTGGATAAATCATTAAGTATGTCAAGAGAAAAGGAACCTGTTTATTTCTGTGGTATACAGCTGGAAGACTTTTAAGCCTTATAAAAAGCAACTTGTTTTTCTCAAATATGCAGGTTAGAGGCACATATGCATTTGAGATCAGCTGAAAGCATGATGAGAGACTAAAGAAGACCCTGGTACAGGCCATAGAGCTTTTGATCACTGTGCTCTGTGATCTTAATTCCTAAGCAGGCTGGGTACCCAGGAAGTCAGAGGAAACTGCCTACCCTAGTGAGAGTCAACGAAGAATCCCGTTCATACGCTTTGCCTAGAACAGGTTTTCGGTAGGTCTCATCCACATCAGTAAGTGCCTAAAGGAACAGTTCAAAGGGCAGGGGGAGAGGCAGAATTAAAAATATTACATTTTTTGCTTTCAGTGGAAAGTTTATAATAATATCTACTTGTAACAGAACTAAATTAACACGTGACTCTGCTCTTCTTGGACAGAAGAACACAGTAATTACTAACACCCTCTGCTTAGGATTTCTAAACTGTTATCACCATGTAAGAAGATGAATTTATCCTATGGATGGTAAGGGCCTTTACAACTGCATGGTAGAGGTTCTTAAATTTCAGTATATGTGTGTGTGTGTGTGTGTGTGTGTGTGTGTATGCAGAAGCCTATTAAAATACAAAAACAAATTCAAATCTATTCTCTTAATGTTTCTGATTCAGTATGTATGGGAAATAGCCCAAGAACCTTTTATTTAAACTAGAAACCCCAGGTGATTCTGAAGCAGGATAGCTTTACACTTTGAGGAATACTATTGCTTCTTTACCTGCCTCAGTTTCTATGTCACATGACAGCAATTAACAGATCACCTAGGGTTATATATAGCCTTACTGGTGAGATCTCATCACTGAGATCAACCTCAAAGGATAACTGTCAGGATCAAGTGAGACTGTATGACAGAAACTCTGAAAAATGTACATCACCCTATGACTATAAGCTAATAACTACATTTGTAATATTAAAATTATAAATTATTATTACTACCATAAAAAAGTTTATTTTAAAGTCACTTCCCCTCAAAGGTAACATTATAATAAAGTATTTTCTCCTATAGTTTAGAAAAGAGAAAGCAGAGGATCAGAATCCTACAGCCACCACATGGTGAAGCTAGGTGGAAGCTAGGATTCAAATTCCATAATAGTTGAAAGCATTGTTTTAGGAGTCAGAAAGACCCAGAATAGAGTCTGGTACTTCTATTTACTAATGTGTGACCTGAAAGCAGCCTTGCAATTTCTCTAGACTCAAATTCTTCATTTGTGAAATGGAACCGTAATAAAGCCTATAATTCATTCATTAAAATAATAAATAAAGGCCTTAGAACAATATCTGAAACACAGCAAGTACTCAATAAATGTTAGTAACTACTGTTATTATCCAAGAGCAATGCACAGATGCGGATAAAGCACAGGGAAAAGGAAAGTTGGAAATGGAAAAGAAACAATGGAAAACCCTGGTGGTTCTTGGTTGACTGACTCATATTACTGTAACATATCCCTTATCTCCTACAAATGTCCGGTGAGATACTAAGCTCTATAATGCTGGGGACACACCTTCCGAGGAAACACCATGCAGAGTTTATTAATGTCTGCTTCACCCTAGCCTTAGCCATCTTCCCTAACACTGAGGAGTGAAATTCATTTCTGAAACTTCTGCATCTACTACCACTTCTGTTCAGCCAAAGTGAGAAATCAATAAATATTTTTAAATGAATTAAAAATGTTGATAGAAATCAATTTAAAATCACTAAATAGATACAATAATTATTCCTTCAGGCTGAGTTTCTCAACCTTGACAGTAATGATATTTTGGACCAGGTGGCTGTTGCAAATAGGGTGATTTCTGTATTGCAGGATGTTTAGTAGCATCCATGACCATTAGATGCCAGTAGCACACTCCTACAGATGTAACAGGAAAAAAAAAAAATCCCCAGACATTACCGAGTATCTGGAAGGAAGGGAAGAACAAAACATAGGTCCCTGGTTGAGCACCCACTGTCTTAAGGAAAAGGAAGCAATAAAAATAACTTGTTGCTTTTGTCCAAGAGTATATAGAGATTTTAATTCTTCTGAGAAGTTATTTTTTTGATTTTGCTTAATAAGGTTTCTCAGATCTTTTAGACATTTTAAAGACTTCATTCTTTAGTAGATTCTCCAGCCCCCTTAAGAAAAGGTTAATTACCATATTCCAGAACTTGTCAAATGCAACGAGGAAGCCTGTGCAGACACCCCGGAGTCCCTTGAAAGTGCGGATATGAACATTCACCTTCACCCCCTCCCTGATACAACGATGCAATTCACCCAGAGGGCTACCTTCGTGCACTGAAACAAGAAAAAAGAGTCAGTACAGTAAGAATATCTACCTTTTTTAATTCCAGAATTAACAGCCAAGATCACTTGGCCACGTCCAGCAGTACAAGGCAACATGCACAGTGACAACCTCACTTTTGGAACTGGAAAGTTTAATGAGCAACATGGCTAGTACAGCCAACACACTGAAATGAGACCCTATTCCAACAGAATGCAAATAAACCATATGTATGGATGTCATCTAAATGTTCCACTACCTATGTATCTTCGTTCTGTGATGTCACTAATTCTAAGTTATGTCATCATTTAAGAACTTTTGCAGGCAAAAAATGAAATACCACATTAAATGTACAGTTCAGCAGCTACCTCAATTCTGTGCTTTTAGAGAATTCAGCATAAATCTCATAATGCCACACATACAGTTTGAGATTTCCCAAGAACTGAAAACCTTGTTCATAGATCTGAAGGAAATGAACTGTGTAACACATATGCCTTCAAACATATGCCATCCTCTCAAAGAAAATGGTCCTACCAACCTGAGCTACTCCATGCATGAGCTCTGGAGTCACTGGTGTTTCAATGTATAGCCTATTTATACTAAGAGGAAAGGTCTGGTTGTATTCTGGTACTTGGTAGATAAAGGGATCCTATGAGACTGCTAATAAGCATCAGGTGAAAAGAACAATATGACAATTCAAAGAAACAAGAGTGGGACTGTAAATTTCAGCTTTTTACTTTGTGGGTTACTGGGGATGCACCCAGTTCCTTACACATGCTAGGCAAGTGTTCCACTGCTGAGCTATATCCCCAGTCCAAATTTCATCTTTTATTCATTTGTTTATATTTTTGAGGTACTAGGGATAGAAATCAAGGCTTCACATGTGCCAGGAAAACACTCTACCACTGAGCTTCTTCTCCAGCCCTTTTTTCAAGTTTTATTTTGAGACAAATTCTAAGTTGCCATGCTTGCCATGAATTTACTATCTCCTGCCTCAGCTTCTGGAGTAACTGGGATTACAGGCATGCCCCATCATGCCTGGCCAAATTTCAGTTTTTATTTTGAGGGATTATTTTTTCAGAGCATGGAAAAAAGGATGGATTAAAAAAATTTTTCATGTTAATTTATCTCTCACAATATGCTGGCTCTAGTTTATATAACCTATCTCCCTGAACACACACATTCATATACGGGATCTCCTAAATTTGCAAGGCAAAATTCTTTGGATAGTATTTGTTCTTGATAAGAAAACAAATAAAAAATATACTTCTTTTGCTTCCAGTGGCATATAAGAGTGCAGTCCTACACTGCCACTAATTTAGTTCCTCTTGACTACTTTTCCCTTCATTCACGAGTTGGCATATAAATGATGGCCATGATTAATGAAAGAAAACACTCTTGGAAGAAAATTACTTAACAGATGAGAAGTAGGAGTTTAGTTCAGTATGAAAATTGGCATAAACATAGGCAAAATGGCAGAAATGATGGAAAGGAAGAGGAAATCCTTGCTCTAACTTTCATCATCTACCTCTCTTCTAACAATGTTTTGAAGTCCTTTGAGACTCTGATAAGGGTTTGTGTGGGCTCTCACATATATCTACATATATCTACATGTGTGTTACAGCTATGCTAAATCAGGCATTGTAAACAACATTCAGGTCACTACAACTAGTGTATGACCTTTAGTACCTTTTCCTTAAGGGTTAAAGTTTCCCGACACCATAGTAAAGCTAGAAGTTAGAATAACTTCTAGATTATTTCAGGAATAATTCTCTACAATTCAATTTCTTAGAAACTGATTTAATTACATAAATGGCAAACTTGGTATTTCAGCTCTTACATTGGTAATTCTCTCTTGATAATTTTTCTTTCAAGATTTAAGAAGGAGTAATTCCAGGGAGCATTCATTCCTCTCCTGTGTGATCAAAAATGCAACACTAGCACCACCTATGAGAGCAGACTGTATAAGAAAAAATGATCTCCTCATTTCAAATCAGAATGCACACTCTCTTTAGAGCCATCTCTGTGACAGACTTCAGCCAGATATGAGAAAGGTTTCTAAAACTTAATACCAAAAAAAAAAAAAAAAAAGCCTCATCCTTGAAGAAGGTTATTCTTCCAAATCCTCTTCCTTGTTGCCACTACTCTTGGTTTACATCATTACAAATTTAGGTCAGTTTTAGTTGATGTTTCCTTCTCCACTTGTGGCCATTACTAAATTCAGATGACAGATTCTCAAAAATTAAGACCTGTCCTTTCTCATTCTACAGCACAGGTCAGTCCAGAGCCTTATCAGATGATTGGTTTACTACAAGTTTCCTGCTCTTCTAATTCACATCCACAACAACATCATCTTCATTGCTGCCACCATCATTATTATCCATGACTAGGCCTTATATATGAGCCAAGCCCTCTGGCAAGTTTAATTTTACCTCTGTTATTTAATTATCATAAGAATCCTAACTCATAGGTACTCTTATTTCACCCCAATTTATGAATAAGAGCAAGGCTCAGAAACAGTTAAGAAATTTGCTCGAGGACACTTATCTAAAATCAGGAAGCCAACTCTCAATATAAGCAAATATACGTGTTCTGACTTGAGTCTTTTAATTATGACAATTTAAAAGTAACAACTGCAACAATAATACTGACATTTAAAATATTGAAAACTTTGCTGTGAACTAGGGAACATTACTATTGTAAATGCTTTTAAATGTGTCAACCAATCTAATCTTGACAATGATAACTATATATTACTGATTTTATTCTACAGATCAGGAAATGAGGCCTAAGAGTTTCAGTAACTTACCTAAAATAAAATAAATGTTGGAGGAGTCAGTGTGCAAACCTAGGAGGTTTTGACACCTGTTAAAATACACTTAAAAAGACTGAATTTTGCTACAGGTAAATTACACTAAATAGCCTGATTAAAAAAAAAAAAGCCCATAAAACTTCTCCACCATGCCATTTCTTCAAGACCTAAAGCTTACCTCTTATAGGAACTTTTTTGTCAATAAACCTAATCCTTACCCATGCATCTGTCATTTCCTTGCTTTCTGAAGATCATCAACTCTTTGGGATGTTAACCCATCTATGGCTCACTCAAATGTTTACAGGGCTATGTAAAAATTTTCAATGAGTAGGGCACATTGTCTGAGATCTTGATCTCAAGTGAATATTTAACCATGGGAAAAGGATAAATCTGGTCTTCACATACCAATATAGTAAAGAACAGAACACCATAGTAAAGCTAAAATCACTTATAGAAATATTTCTTTCCCTTTACAATCTCTGCAGCAAAGCAATAACTGATAAAATGGAAATAAATGTTACAATCTGGGACTTGGTGTTCATTTCAACAACCTAATAGGAACAACATATACAGACAAAATAAGGTTCTTCAAACTGCTCTCATTTTAAGAACAAGCACACTACTATTTGTGTTACTGCTGGGGAAGCAAGCTAGGGTAAATCCTAGCTTGGGCAGGGATGCTCTGTTCTGGCTCAGTAAACCATCCAACAAAGGCACCCACAACAGCACACAGCTTTTCAGGATGCTTATTTCTTAATAAACCAATTTCTAGGAATGAGGCAAAATAATCTCTTGCATAGCATACCCCTCCATTCAAAAGTAAGATATTTAATAATGTAACAATTTAATTATCAGGATACAGATGCTTTGAATGGCTAAGTAGGTCATTGTGTTCACAGGGCAGATGTCAGAACTGCTTGCCAGATGACAAAAGATACATCCCTGGGCTGTTTTTATTCTACTTATACAACAGCTAACTCACACATTAGTACCTCTGTTGTTTACAGCTGTACTCTAAGGATCTCTTAGGAAGCTCCAAGAAATTCCCCCGTGCCATTTACACCTTCAGAACTTAAAATAACCTGTGTATATGGTCATAGGAGCCCGACAGACACAGTCCTGCACCCAGCCAGGCAGAGTGGCTGTAAAGCAGCTCGTGTTTTAGTGGCATTTTGTGCCTGCTGCATTCCAGCACTTGTGTTCTAGTAATGTGAACATATGTGTATCAAGACCCTGCAGTCCTTCTCCTGCTTTTTGCATCCCGAATGAGCTGTCACTTCCTGTGTAGGAGTTATTATATTATATCCCTGTGCTATCCAAACATACCTCTCCTCACTTCAGCTGATCCCCAAACCCCACTGCCCAGACAGACACTCTCCTTTCCTTAATATTGGCTGTGTGCTCTTCCCCCAACTTCTCCCTTATGGTCCCCCAAATCTCTCATCACCTCTGCAGAGCTTACGATTTCCCCTAAAATCAACTATTTCCAGGCCCCACCATCTCTTTAGGTACCACATCACTTGTGCAGACCCTTTCTGTGGTTCCTCACTCCCGTCGACACTTCTAGGGACCCGTACTAGCTCTGCAGACCCTCCCGGTGGCTCCTAATTACCAGCGCAGCTTTACCACTCCCCTCCTACTGCTCCTGAAGACCCTCCAAGCCTCCAGGCGACCGGCCCCACACCCCCCGTAATCCACTTCTCAGGATCAGCCCCTCCCCGCGGCCGGCGCCCTCGGCGAACCCTCCCAAGACCCTCCCCCAAGGCGCGCAGCCCCGCCCCCGCCCGGCCTGCCCGACTCACAGGGCATTCGCGTGAGCACGTTGCGCGGCGCCTTCCTGCTGCGACCCGGACCCCGCCGGCGTGCCCCGGTGGTCCCGTCCTCTTC